CAAATGCTCAGTAGTTTATTAGGGCCTGAGCACTGTTTCTTATTATCATGAATTGAAATCATTTCACAGTTGCTTACATTTAGATATAAGACTAGATATAAAACTCAACTGTATTGATAGCTTTAGATTTGTGTGTGCAATTCATATCCCTTCAATTCATCCTGCACCGTATTATATTTGTTTTCTAATGTAACTTATATGATTTTAGCGAAAAATACTTTTATTTTGGTCTGGTGATGTGACGTCATAAGGCTGCGCCGCGCTCCCGCGTCTGTGATTCTGCTGAAGAAAGGTGTGTGTTTTTAATCCGTTAAAGTGTTTGAATCAATACAACTCGTTTAGAGAATTGTAGATAAAACTGCTAAATGAATTCGTAACCAATGTAACACTGTAATACTTTATTTAGTTACATTTATGAAGGACATGTAAAGCGCATCCAGATAGGAGTAACAGAAAAGGTGCGTCTCATTTCGCTCGCTGTATCGTGAATCAGTTTATCATAAACACGAATTCAGTCACTGACAACAAGTGAATGATGGAGAAACGGAGCTTTCGAAGCTCCGAGTCATATGAGTCAAATCGCGAATGATTCAGTGATCCGAATCACTCGAACTAGAAACAAAACGAAAACTATGTGTAATGACAACTTTTACAAACCAACTGCAAATCAGAAATAACATTATTTAAATACAATTAATATGAGAGCTAATTATGGTTGTTTTTGTCTTGTCGGGTTAAGGCGATTAACTATATCTCGGACTGACTCCCTTATTAGTGCTGGTTACTGAAGTATAGGGAGCTTATTGAGACGCACCAAGAGATTTAGTTTGGATTGATTTTTCTTTTTTGTTAATTATTCTCATCTTAAACAGGACAAAGTGTCCAAACACAGAACATCTCCTGCTGAAGCAACTGAGACACGTTGAGACACACTTATTATAAAGATGGCGTTTATTAAAGAGGAGAGTGAAGACGTGATTGAAGAAGCATTCAGAGTCAAACATGAAGATACTGAGAAACAAACAGAGATTGGGTTAATTGAAGTGGACAGTGAAGACGTGATTGAAGAAGCATTCAGAGTCAAACATGAAGATACTGAGAAACAAACAGAGATTGGGTTAATTGAAGTGGACAGTGAAGACGTGATTGAAGAAGCATTCAGAGTCAAACATGAAGATGCTGAGGAACAAACAGGTTGGTTTTCATTCTCGAAGCTGAACTCACTCATTTTAATGTTGTGAAGCTGAACTCGTTCAAATTTTAAGCTGTACAGTAATAGAAACAATTAATACAGAAGTATCATTCTGTATCATTGATGCTCAATGGACTTCCCTGCAGGACAATCATCCCAAAGTACACATCCAAATCTCTTTAAGTTTGGTTCAGGGATCTGATGGTAGGATGTTCTTCGTTGACCAGTTCAGTCTCCAGATTTAAATCT